TTATTTTTTTCTATCTTGCAATATTTCTTTTTTTAATTATTTCTTTATATATAAATGTTAATATTTAAATTAGAAATTACTTTTCTTTCCTTAACAATGTCAGTGTGACTGCGTTTCTTTGAGTCTAACGTACCTATGTATGTGTGTGAATAACTTTTAACAGCATTACTTGCCACTTACGTTGCATGTAGCACGTGCAACAAAACGTATAGTTGCAGCAAAAACAAAAACAATATATAGTACTTCTTTTGTGGTATAGTATACGGTGTGGTGGGCTTTAACAGCAGCAGAGCGAAGTCGGCTCAAAGTTGCTAAGACTGCGTTCACACGTGAACACTTTTGTTGCTCAAATTCTACTTGGGTTGCGTTCTCAGGAGCGACATGCCTGCGATAACTTGTGTAGCGGCATTTTTTCTTAATTCTGCAACCGTGAAACGAGTTTCTAAAAGGACACGATTGCCAAATAGCTCATCAGCGAACTGTTGCGCACAAGAATACAAAACGTGTCACCAGAACAAGAACGCCACCCCCTTTGTTGTTGTTGTAGTGGCTTTCCTCGCTGTCCCATTACCGACAAAAAGCGTTCCCACGACAGCCGGGTCCACATAACCGGAGCGAACACGTTTTTTTTTTAGGCGTTCACGGTCAACTTGACAGCATGCTACCACCAAAACAACAAAAACGTCCTCCTGTGAATACAGTCTAATTGCTAACACACATTCCAGCAAATGCCACTGTATTACAACAAACAAAATAAATATTGAAAAAAAAAAAAACACAAATGCGTATCAAAGCGCTGCTGTCGTGGGCTTAACAGGCAATCTATTCAATACGGAAGGCAACTACAGTGTACAATATGCGGGTCGAGCGTAACAAAACTGAAAATTTATTTTTGCAAATCAAAATTAACGCTTAACAACGCACACAGAATCTTTCACTTTTCTTGATTTTTTTCGTTTAATTTTGCTTACATTTTATACATGCTAGATACTCATGATTGGTTTTGGTTGCTTATTTAATGTTTTTTGTTTCATTTTTTTTTTTTTTTTTGTTTGTTTACTTTAGAATTTTGATTACACAATTTAATTGCTTCCGCAAAAAGCAGCTGAGCGCAACTTCATTATTACATACATACATACTTGTACATTACAATAGTAAGTAGTTATAAGCATTTGTTTCTTATCGTTTCGTTTTAAATTATAAAATAGTAGAAAATCTAGGTAGAAATTTACAAAAATGTGCAATTTGTTTAAAGTTTTCAGTTAAACTTTCCGCTTTATTTTGTTGATTTTATTTATTGTTTGCGTCAGTGTTATCATTGTGTAGCCTTTCACTTAATTAATTTCGTTACTTTTCGTGATAAATTAATTTTCATTTTATTTATTTATGAAAATAGCTATTTTTAGTTATGTACTTTTATTGTGTGAACTTTCGTATTTCAAACAAATTAAAACGGCGTTTCAGTTAAAGTTAACGCAACGGTTAACGGTTTTATAACGCTGTGTGGCGCTTTTGATTTTTTTTTCACTTTTTCATAATTTTGTTTTGTTTTTTCTTACACTAAGCAAAACTGAAAATTTTACAAAAAAAAGAATTATATTTTTCGTATTTTTTTTTTATTATTTTTTGTCAGACAACTTGCAAGCCGTTGCTTTAGATTTCACTTTGTTCAACTTAAATATTATAGACTTTATTACAGTATTAAAAAGTATCTTAAAGTTAGTGATGAATATTGTTGGTTGATGTGGAGCATAATTTTATACGAGTCTATGGTGTGCTGCATAATTCAAATAAAACTTTTTCAACTAAATACTATTTGAATATAATAACATGTTTCACTTTACGGCATAATTAAATGGTAATGATTTAGTATACTTAAGTGTATGTGTGTATGCGTGTTGCATGCATTACGCGCACAAAAAAACAATAAATTTTGATGCGAGTGAGTTGTGTGCAAATTAGCCAAAATAATAGGAAATTTAAGTGTATTATTACAGCTATTAAAGAGCGCTGCAGTGTGCCTGATGGCCACTGTGGTTGTTGTTGGTGATACGTGCCAACACCGACGCACCAAATATGCGACCTTACGTGTTTTTCTATGCTAATATGCGTGTATGTGAGTGTGTTGTGTTGTGGGTGTCACTTTAAGTCTACGGTGCACGTGTCGCCGCACACGTATGTAATTGCGCTGCAGCTACGCATGTGTTGGGTGTGACAAAACTGCTCCATTATCCTTATGTTGCTGTAGGCGATGCTGGTGGTGTATTCGAAGCGGTCGTATTACTCTTTGAATGCCTTAGCTGCATCAAATAGTGCCGTTGTGTCGGTTTATGCAGTGCCAGCTGTGTCAACGCGTCATCTATGGAAAACCATTGGCGCTTACGGCCAATGCTACGCGAATCTTCCCACTCCTCCAATTCATTGGTGACGGTCATAACAAACACTTCGGTGCGATGCATATGCTCGCGATTCTAAGCGCACAAAAAAGTAAATGTTGTCATTAATATTTTAAGAAATTATTATATGTACTGCAATTGTGCTCACTTCGAAAACACCCAAACAGCGCCCAAGCTTGCCGACAACGCCGGCCTCTTCGAGCACCTCACGCACAGCCGTTACCGAAGGCTCCTCTTCGGGTTCAACACCGCCACCTGGCACAATCCACAATTCCGGACGGCGTGACGATGTCACGAGCAGCACCTAAAAAAAAAAAAAAAAATAATAATAATAAACGAAAATGGCAATTAATAAAAATTAAATGCAGGAAATGTAATATTTATTTATTACCTCTGCCTCGGCATCGGAACGCACGCAAATGCAAGCGGCACGACGGCGAAAGCCATCCTTGTCATAAATTCGTGTAGAATTAGGCTTTTCCTTAACCATCTGAAATAAAAATAAAAAAAAAAATTCAAAACCAATTAATATTGCTTAGCATACGCCCGTGTCTGATATGAAAGCTGTATGTGTGTGTATTTAAATTCTTTAGATAGAGATAAGCATAAAAAATGTGAACTGCATTGGTTATTGGTAGCTGCGGCATTACCAAAATCTACAAGTCCGTAATTAAAATCGCGAATTCCGCTTATCTCCACCAATTGTGTGCTTTTATGAGATTGCGTTTGGACAGCACGTTTTTTATTATTACAGAACAGCGTAGTAGTTATGAATATATTCACACATGCATATGTGTATGTGTATGCAATGCAAACAAAAGTGAAGAGTCACTCAAAAGTTAGTGCAGAAATTTTGCTTACTTCAAATGTTTAAAAATATTTGTTGTGCTAAAGTTACTTCACGGTACTTTACATGAGTTGCACATTTTTCTTTTTATATGCCGGCAATTATTACGACACAAACTATTTAAATTTGCTTATAAATAAAATTCTACGCACAAGATTTTATAGCAACGCTTTCTTTGTTACCAAAATAACAGATTTTTATTTAGCACTGTCTGCGACTACCTCGAATTACGTTGTTGTTGTTGTTGTGGCGAGTACCTTGAGTTTTTATAAGCACAGGTTGACGTTTAGACCGGTATCGTGCTCCTTCGCATGAATGTGCAACTAAAACTGCTGAATTGGCAATTTGCAAACAGCTGAACAACCGGCTTTTCTGTGTGTGCTTGTAAGTCATGCCCCTTGAATACTTTAATGTAGAAATAAACATAATAAAAAACGAAAATAATAATAAACACTGTTTGCATCACTGGAGATAAGCGCTGACCTGTGCCTTTGTTTGTTTAAATAATTAATTTTGTATTGATTGTGCAATAAATTGCACGTGACTTAAGTCTGCTATTTTGCAAGGTAGGCCTACCTCATGTTTACATATTTATATATGTATATGTAAGTATAATACATACATATATAAGCTTGTTAATAAGCGCTAAACTGACTTGATAATAAATTAAAATTAGAAAAAAATATGTTAATTTCTATTGTACTGAAGCTAGAATACCTTTCACAAATGAAAATTATTTCCAAACAAGGACTGGAATTTTGTCGATCAGATTGTATGAAATATATGCTATAGTGGTACGATAACCGGCGTTCAGACAAATGAGTTTCTTGGGAGAAAACGACGTACGCAAAATTTCAGATCGGAAACTGAAAAACTGAGGGATTAGATCGCGTATATACTGACAGACAGACGGACGGACAAATAGAGGGCAAAGCTAAATGAACTAAACTTGACACGCTGATCAATGATATATATGTACATATATTTCTCTTCGGAGTCTTACAAACTACGTGCTAAA